ACATCTAGAACAAAAAGTATAGGTTCCTGTTATGGAATAGTCCAAATGATTAGTTATAACTTCTAAAATAGATGAATAATATTCATAAAGCATCTGCATTTTTAAAAACAAAAATGCTTAGAAATGTTTTTTGAGACCGTTTTAAAAATGTATAGCATGATACTATAGCATGATACATTCCTGTTTGTCTATAATATTTTAACCACTGCTTCCCATGAGGAGCTGTTGTAATGGTGTTAAAAAAAGATACGTGTTTTCTACAGTACTTATGTGTACTTATGTGGCACCTCTATCTTGAAGGAAAACAGAACATCTTCAAGATTCAATCAATTGTCTGTAACATCCAAGATCATATTTATTTGGGAACTCATTTCCGGTGTGGATTATTTGGGCTATTTGCTTCCCTCTTTCAACTGCTAACAGCGTTTTGCTCTTTCCCTTACGTAACCCTCTCTGTGGAACCACAAGAGCAGGAACTGAGAAAAGTCAGTAAATCTCTTTATCTGTCAGTAATGCCTATGAAACGAGAAAGAGGTCAAAATTATTACTAAAATGAAGGTAGACATAATCTGTGGGAATTACCTATTTCCTTCCTGTTATCCTCTACCATGAATCACTTAGGATTAAAGAGACAGGCAGCAAATTACATGTTGACTTTAGTGGGAAGAGCTTTGAGATTTCATTTCTCTCTCACCGCTCTCTGCCTAATACACACACGCAAACACATACGTTGCTCAGAGACATACACATGAAACAGTATTACTCAGATAGCAGTGCCAGTGATTCTTACCATTCGTTATGTAACCTGGTACATACATCGCATGACTTCCTGGAATAGAGAGGCCCTGGGTGCTTATACTCGGAGAGCGACTGACATGCACTTTCAGGCTGTATCTGCCATTTACAGCAAAGGAGAAAAAATACCTCGAGTAAATTCCATCATTTTTTATAACATCAGCACCTGTGTAAGTTGAAAAAACTCAATGTCAACAGTTGTCATCATAATTGATTACTAAGTCATTAAATATACGATTTACTACCCTTATCCTTCCAGATGTTGTCATGGTCATACCTACTCTTTTGATACTCTCGGGTGATTAATAATCCAATGGTTTCATAATTTCTATGAAATAATATTAGTTTTTCCTAGAAACCAAGTACATTCTTAATCCCAGGCCCTTTTAAGATAAAAGCTTTCTGTTCCCAGGAAATAAGTACATTTATATATACACAGACATACATCTACACATCTTCCTACAATTTCAAGAATTTATGGTATCTTGAAGCCATTTGATTATGAACCTCTGATAAAAACTTTGGTAGTTGGTAATATAGTATGAACTTATGTAATTTCTTCATTAGAGGGTTCATGGAATTCTTGTTCTAGATTCTAAGGGGCTTGATGATCTGGACTTCGACAGAATTGTCTCCATCTGCTTTCAGGGGCATTCTGAAAACTTAGCCAGTGCTGGACTTTTTTTTCTTTCCTGTTGATCCTCAGAGGGAATTTCAACTCCAAGCCAAGCCTATGATGGAATGGCAGGAAGGCCTAGATCTGAGGGCAGCAATGGAAGGTCCAGCTGAACCCAAATGCAGATCACATTCAAGTGCAGGGGGCCACACAAGGCAAGCAGCTCATCCCAGCCTAGAGGGATGTCCCACCACAACAAACACCCAGCCCTGCACCCCAGCATGTCATTGCTAAAGTGCCCTAGGATTCCCCTTTCCACACCACAGAGGCAGGGCTATTTACCATAAGAAAACTGGAAGTATATTTAAATAAAATAAAAAGTGTTAAGATCTACTTCCTATCAAAGTAGAGTTAGAACAATTTTTGTCCATTGAATAGAAATCAAACCTTGGTTGGAATCTAGTTATTTAGTGATTAATAAGGCCTATCATTTTTTGGAAATTATAAAGGAAAATCTCTCCATATCACTGTCATCACCTCCTCTAATCCCTGAGACAAAAAGAAACAGAGAAAGAACATTGGCTCAGGAGTCAGGGGACGTGGTTTTAACGTTTGTATCTGCCCGTGTGTAGCTGTGAAGTTTCATGTGCCTCAGCTTCCTCATCTATGAGATGGAGATAAGCTATCTCACAGGGTTGAGTGTTGTTGTGAGAGTTGATCACTTGAGAGTATGCATGGGAAAGTACATTTTAAATTGTAAAGCATTTTGCAAGTATAAATTTTATTATTTATTAATTTTACTTAGCATGCAAATATTGTTTCCATTATAAAAATAAGTATTGGACTACGATGTATATATCTATTCAGTATTATGAGGGAAAAACTAAATTTACTTAGATGCCCAACCAATATTTCTCATTAGTTCATTCATTAGAGTATAAATGTAGGCGTCAAACAAATAAATGGTTCCAGGGAACCTAGTGAGCTGAGTCAGGTGGTTTTTCCCAAGGGAGCAGGATCTGTTCTTTAGGCCACTCCACCATCTGGGCAAGGAAGAAACATTCTACAGAGTGCATTTTTGGAGCATAAACCAAAAATAAAGGTATGGCCATGGGTAAGCAGTCAGAGCACAAGAAACTCATTTGCATCTACGGCAATAGGAAAGACACGAAGACTTCTCTTGTATCCCTTGGAGGTGAATCGAGCCAAAATCCTTTGCATGAACTTTTGTTTCATAAATGTCAGATGCTATCACCATGGCAAGATCCTAACGGGCTGCTAAGTCTAACACGCTTGAGAAAAGATTAACTTGGAAACAACAGGGTGAAATAATATAATTTTATTAGCAGATGAAACTCTTAAAACTGCCAATATAGACCTCAGGGTCTTTTGTCATTCTGAGAATTTAATCTAGAAAAATAACAGGAAATATGGAACAACAAAGGAGTTGGTTTTTACAAGTAAAAACAAAAATGATTGATCAGAAATAGTCCAAGTGCTGCAGTTTACCCGGCCAGAGGCTGTGCTGTCTGTAGTGAATAGTGTTGAGGCTCTGAACTCTGTGTGGGTGGAAGGAGAGCTTTGTTTTGTTTTACTTTGTTTTCCCAGTGGTGGGGAAATCTCTATCTTAATTCTATTAGGCTTGTGAGCCTGGTCTTCTTGGGACCAAATCACACATGAAAAAGGTACTGGCTGTGCTAGAGAAAGGCTGTGCCCTCTCACCCATCCAACTAGTCAGCTGGAGCATACCCCAGGGTCATCCCATGGGCCACAAGTTCTATTTCCAATTTTTTCTTCATAACTGGGTCCAAAGGAAAAAACTGGGTTGTCACTGCATTGCCCTTCTTGAGTTTTCATTTGCTATTTTAACTGTGCAATATGGTTACAGACAACAGCACAGCTGGTGAATTTTAGAGGAAGAGGGGTATGTCATAAGGACATATAAGCCTGTGCCTGTGTCATGGCCTCGCTAAGCCAGGAGAGAGATGTCAGTGGCTTTCCCCACCCTTTCACTCACACACAGCTACTCTGAATAGCCTCACAGGGACTCTTTTCCAAGTCAACTCTGTAGCTACTCAGTATGTCAGTGATTCTCTTAGAATCTGATCAGATTAAATAAGAAAAATAATTGAAGTTTTACAGATAAGCTTAATATTGATACTACTGCATCATATGACCACAGCTCCTGAGAACATGAAAAACAGTGTGACATTCCTTGTTACCTGCTCCATCATCAAGAAGTCTCAGTGTGACAGCATCTCCGGTCTCTGGCTCAACTGTGGCAGTGACAGTAGCATTACGAATGGGATAAAACCCTTTTCTCACACTGGCATAGATCATCACGGGATGGGGAAAGTGGGTGCTGTCTCTTTCCACAAAGGCCTCCACAGTGACTGGGGGCACAGCTGAGCTGGAGGCACGAGAGGTCACTGTCACTTTTAGGGCTTGCAGAGAATGGTGGGTATTGTTCACTATGTAAGTCCAGAGTCCAGGCTGCAAAGCAAAGGTTTTTTTGTTTTGTAAAGTGTTAAGAAAAAAAAAATCAAACTTAAATTGAAAGCATACATCTAAGCTCCTAGGATTTTTTGCTCTTGTTTTGTTGAAGTTATAGTTTTAAAAATACTACAAAAAGATATTGGGAAAAGTAATATTGGATAAGGGACGACTGAATTCATATTTACGTGGCTTTCATAGCATTAACCCACTTTTATTCTTAAGTGATTCTTTAGGAAATTACACTTTGGATTTATTTCGGGTGGGGAGGATACAAAGTATCTGGTTTCAAAGTACTTTTCAAATATTAATCTGAGCCCCTTCACCCAAAAGGAGATTAAATGTTTTCATTTCTTTTCATAACTGAGAACATTAAATCAAACTAAGTGAACCATTATGATTTATGTGGACACCCTGGACTAAAAAGCAACAATAGTCTTCTTTCCCTCCATTCCCCCAACCCCCGACTCCCAGAAATCTCAAGCAACAAAAACCACATGCACTGTTAGGGATCGATTTTTAATAGGTCATGATTATACAATGTCTACATTGAGTAATTTATAGAAATATTGCTTAGCACCATTCTCTTGCCTATTAAGACTGCGCAGAAGAAACTTACAAAGGAAAGTCTGAAAGAATAAGGCTAAAATTGTAATGTAGTAGAAATTCATCCCTTTGATTAAGCTTCACATAAATGATTTTTCCTAATTAGTGCTGCTGCTCCTGATTAAACCCCAGAAGCAATGGGAGAAGCACAACAGAGGAGAAGAGAAAGCAGCGGGTAAGGTGCGACCCAGGTGGAGAGTTAAGATGTTCCACACCCTACCCAGCCCCCGTCTTGGGATTTTCCAGTGAAGTCATGGAGATCTCGCTCTCTCTGTTCTTTCCTGGAATCATCACATGGTAACAGACATATGGCAGACCTTCCACATCAAGAGTTCTTTTTCAGTGTAATGAGTGTTTCCCTCTGTGGCACCCACTCCAGACTAAGGTCAGGCAAAAGGACAAGAGTGAGGTGATGTGTCCCCAGGCCCCATTCATAGATATGAAAGGAACATGATGAATTTGGAGAAAAGTTGAGTAGGACTAGAGCATGGGGTGTTTCGGAGAAGGGGTAAGAGATCAACTTGGGCAGAAGCCAGAACATGAAGGCCCCAGTCTAGTAACCTCTTAGACTTTATCCTGAAACAGCAGACAGGTTGATCAGGTTTGTGCTTCAGAAGCATCACCCTGGTAGAGAGGAAGAAAGGATAGGAGGGATGGCAATTGAGAGATAAGGAGGCCAGTTGAGAGGCTGTCCACAGTGATGGGGCGTGGGTGGTGCAGGACAAGGCTGAATTCAGGCAGCGCGATTCTGATCAATCCACAACCCTGCTTAGAACTTTAGTGGTTCCCTTTGACCTTCAGGATTCGAGCCCCTGTTCCCGTTCCTGTTGTGCAGAGCCCTTGCTGATACAGCTTCTGTATCTGTCTAGCCTCATCACGCCCCTCTGCCTCCTTCATTCATATCCCCACTTTATGGCGTATGTTCTTCCATTCTGAACCGCTCACAGTTGTATGAACAGCCATGTTCTTTTTCTCTAAATGCTGTTTCCTTTGCCCAGAATGTCATACACACTTTCTTGCTTCTTTATTCCTTATATTTCCATTGTAATATCTTCACTTCCAGAAAATATTCTCCTTCCCATCCCCCTGTATGCTCTGACACTACCCCAAGCTTGCTCCTAGCTTAATGTTTTACTACGAAGTAATTAGAGCAAGATCTTATAGCATAGTAGGTGCTCAAAAACATATATATTGCATGTATTCATATTATAAATTTTAGGTACAGATTTTTCCTAAGCACATAGGTGAATATGGCTATAAAGATTATGTAAAGAAAGATGTAGGCTAGAAAAAATTTTTGTACTGCTAGTAGAAATATTAACTTACACTGTTGAATTGAGAAGCATTTGATATATGATGTTTAAAGTTTTGAACTTTAGTTGTTCCTTTTAAATTTAGAACAGTAACAAAATTCCCTCAAATTTAAAGTTTTGATATATCAAAACAAATTTTTCTTTACCCAATGCATTTAATCATGTGATTCAGTTGAAAGGCATGTCATTGGCTAAATATTGTCAGCTCACGACACTTACCTTAGCAGTTCCTGGAATCCAGAGGCCAGCTGTCCGAAGAGCTAGATTGGTGATAAAATTATGTGTGTGGTATTTTCTTCCATCAGGATCAAATAATGTAATCTCAGGGAGACTGCTGGTCTGCCATGTAACTAGAAACACAGTGTCATTGCCCACACAGCTGTCGACAGTCACAGTGCTTTTCAGTTGGTGGTGAGGCTGAACATTTTCACCCATACTTTCTAGCTGTTAAAGAGAATATAGGTAAGAGTCTCCAGCTTATCACTTAATCACGTCATCTTTTTCTTTACTTTTGTGACAAACAAAAATGAATTGGTGAAGGCAAAAATAATTTAATTCTGGCATGTGTTACAGTTCTAGAAATCATTTTCCCTATAAAAATACTTTCCAAAGCAAAATATTGTTCATTATTTGAGTTTAGTAAATTTAAAATATTTGGTTATAGTGAAAACAAACATCATTCCATTATCCTTTATCCAGAGAAGTTAAGTATTCTCACATTATCCTCATCCAAATCAACATCGGTCTCAGGTCAGCAATTATAATAACAAGCTTTTAAAAAGTTTTATTTGCAACTGTGGGTTAATTCTGTTAATTTGCATATGACCTGCCCAGATACTTTTAGATATTTTAATAAGAAAAAAATGAGTTTGTGGAAGATTTTGGAACATTAAAAAATCATTTAGCCATTGACGGTAAGACCTGTGGGTGCAGGTATACATGTGTGTGACCTTGTAGAGAGTGGAGTACATGTGCCTGGCACCCTGCTACATGCTTCACATATGTTATCTCGTGGGTCCTTATGAAAACCCTCTGCTGACAGTGCTATTGTTATCCACATTTTATAGATGGGAAGACTTAGGCTTAGAGTAGTAATTTGCCCAGCGTCCCCTAGCAAGGACATAGAACTGGGAAAACCCCCAGGCGGGCTGACATCAGAACCCCCGCATTTAATCACGGTCTATTCACAATGGAGACCAGTCTGTAAATAATTTTGAAAATTTACATTTATTAAATAATCACATTATTAGCTGTTTGTAAAAATCGCTCAAACCTGGAAAGCATAACAAACTACACTGGCGGATGACAGGAAAGACATTGTGGATTACGTGTTCAGTTTACCAAGCGGTTGTGGATTGATGTGCCACACTCTGCGGGGCCCTGGGCTGCCGCAGGGATGTAGATGACGTTCCTGACCTTCTCGCAGGACTAATGGCATGGGCACAACTAGGGGGAAACTGCTGAGTCCGGAATGCTAAGGTTAATTTGGACTCATGTGAATAATAGTGTACATTCTGTTTGTTTTTTACATTTCGGAACATTCATCTTTTTTCCATATTGCTAAAGAGGAAATCATGGAATATGAAGATTATTGAATATTATCAGCAGAAGAATGGTAGTGTAGTCTAATTTGCAATAATATATTGCCATTTATAATTCACTTGTTTTTACTTCTAATGGTGGAGTTGTGGTTATGACCTTGACTGTGTACATATAATCTCCACAATCTTAAATATGTCCTGATGATAATTTACTGACTGCATTGTTCACAACAAGTCATAAACTTGGCAGGTTCACTTGCCATCTGTGAGGAAACTACAGATGGGATTTTCTTCAAAACATTATTCAGTTATAACCAAGATATTTTTAAAGTACTTAGAAAGAAAAAATAATGGCCCTTTAACGCTTGACTAGAAGAAGCTTTTATGAGCAAAAATCAAGTAAATTGTTGTAACTGAAGGGATATTTAGAAATATTTAGAATTTAATGAAATAGTTGGCTCGGCGCCTATAGCTCAACTGGCTAAGGCGCCAGCCACGTACACCTAGGGTGGCGGGTTCGAATCCCCAGCCCGGACCCGCC